TAGCAAAATCAATGATGATTGGTTAATATAATGTCTGACGTCATAGGGTCAAAAACCGCTCGTATGACCTCTGACGCGACCTTTTGCTACAACCGATCAGATCTTAGTGTAGTGTAGGCCATCGAAAGTAGATCTGTATCTAAATCAGATTGGTAGTGAACTATTCCCAGCTATTATTCACACAATAGATTATTTACAGTAACTCAGTCTGAACTAACACAGTCGTCTGTGTTTGCTGACAGCTAGGACATTCAACCCTATTTCATTTCATTAATTTAGATTATTCGATATTCTGAAAATTACCAATTATTCAGTTTGTATTGAAATTATAACTTTTTGTTTCAGTAAAATGTAATAAGTATAATTAATACTGGTATCACTGAACAAGCAGTATATACACAGTCAAATTTAACATACTATGTCAAAATATGAAACCAAAATTTGCTACACGCGATCACGGTTGTACTGCATGACGTCAAAAGTAGACATGATTCGGTGACGTGTTCGTTTTCGTACCAATGCAAAGGTTCTCTATTGTGCGCAGATTTACCAATACAAATAAAATGAAATGGGGTTTAACGTCCTACTGTTCTGCGCCGACTGTACTAATGAAGATGACCTTACGCTATACAGTTTGCTATGAGGCAATGTTTGCCCAGAGAGACGCGCTACGGCCTACTCTTATTCCGAAATCCAGCTGTCGAGGGTTCTTTTACGTGCACGCCATTGTGTACACGTCACCTCGGGTTTTAGTCCCATCCGAACGACTATACACTGTCCTGATTTATAGATACGTTTAAAGCGAGAATTTCATATTTTCTAAGAAAGTCAAAACAGAATTATTTCTATGTCTTTTGCTCAATAGGTTATCAACTCACTATTATACGATCATAGGTGTCATTCTCACACTTAAATCTCATTTACACAGGAAATAACAACACAATTACCTCCCTTGTTTTCCTATTGAAAACAATGGTCAGCCATTTCCTCAACGTTGGAATTTGAAGTTGAAAATGATATTTTTGCCAATTTCTCAGCTGGCAATAGTGAATTATAGGATTAATAGGATTATTCTTTAACAAGGTAGGACTGTTTATGGATACCATCTATTTTAAGGCTTTATTTTAATAAATTTTAAAAATATAACTTAAAAATATGAAATTTCTGCTTTAAGATTATGACGACGGGTGTATCGCAGTACAAAAAGAGTTTAAAACAAGTGAATCGATAGATGTCTATTGTTCTGAAAAGCTGTTAGAGACGGCCATTGTTATAGTTTATGAATTTATTATATTTTACCAACGATCTACCCCTACTCACTTCTACAATGTTTGAAATATTTACAATATCTGAACAGGATCTTGTCTAAAATCTTGGGGGCATGACCCAGGACATGACAACACCTACGCACGCCACGGAAGACAATGTTGATTTTTTTTGTCAGTGGTCCAGGACGGAGGGCATGGGACGAAAAACCCAGGTCCCGTTTACACACTGGCGTGCATATAAAAGAACCACTGGCAATTGGAATTTGAAAAAAAAAGAGTAGACCGTAGCGCCGTTGTCCCGGCTAAATGTCGACCATAGCACACTGCATGGCGTATGCCGTCCGCATTAACCCCATTGGGAGAGAAAAATAGGACGCTAAACCTCATTTCACTTCATTTCTTGTATTTCTTTTTATTTTGAAAAATAAACCCAATATTTTATTCAAAAATTTAAAGGGGCCGAGGAACAGGCATGGCATATATATGTGACATCTCTCCTATCATCTGAAATTATAAACGTCCCGGTGTTCTGCTCAGACTGGTCTAAAGAAGACGGGCATACACCATACAGTGTGCTATGAGGGACATTTTGCCCGGACAGCGGCGTTACGATCTACTCTAATATGGAATTCCAACTGCCAATGGTTCTAGTACTTATACACAAATGTGTACACGGCACCTCGGGTCCTCGTTCCACAAACGGAAATGACGCCGGAACATCCCGATGAACTTGCTCGGGTCGAACACAGGACCTCCCGTGTTGGAAGCTAAGGTTCCATGTGTATCATTTCCTTTATTTTGTATACAACTCCTTCATAAAGCTGAGCGCGAACAATATCTAATTATCCACGGATTAAAGAAACCAAAACTCTAATAAAATATCAATCCTATTTCGTTTCGTTTTTATAGTTCAAAATTTCGTTTTACTTGTCTTTACTACACTAGGACCTGAAAGAGTTGTTATATAACCCGCGTTCTGGTTGATGTGAGAGATTAGCTAATGAAACGGTCTGTTGCAACGAGTTCTTGGCGTGTGATGCACGGATGGGTATCCTACTAGAAACATCAACGCTGATTGGTTATTCAAATGTCTGACGTCATAGGGTCAAAAGCCGTTCGCATGACCCTGACGCGACCTCCCACTACAACTGGTGTAGTAGAGGCCATCGAAGGTATGTATAAAAAAGAAATGAAACATAGATCTGTATTTTAATCAGATTGGTAAAATATTTTCCATAATACTGCAAACTAAAACACGAATTAGAATTCAATATTGGTCCATCAAAAAAAATGTTATTATCTTACCGTGAAAATATGTGATTTTAATACCCAAAATTAAAAACGCAATGATGATTTTAAAATCACTACACGATTCATGTACTCTATGAACAAAACGGTTTCGAGCGCCATTTGTAATGATCAAAGAAAAACATATCGCAGAAGACAAAGTGGAAGTAATTAAAAATGACTGACACAAACGCCCCCCCCCCCCCCCAAAAAAAAAACCAACAAAAAAAACAACCCCAAACCAACTAAAGAAAGGCTTGTAGAATGGACTAAGCCGTTCAATTTGGACTGTTCACGTATTTCACCGAACATAATTGATTAGAAATTACAATAAGAAATTTGGGGGGTGGGGGGTGCATGCCTCACTAAGGTTTTTCATTGAGTCAACTGACGTGGTTTCGATTCCCCGGTTGTACTTGACAAGGAGTAGGGTCGCCTGTCCAAACTCGTCGGTTTTCTCCTGGTCCTTCGGTTTCCTCCAACTGCAAAGACCACTACGCGGATGAGAATTATTGAAATAAAATTTAACCATATGTTAGTCCCGAAATGACCTAGTTTGTGCCCCACCTCTCTCTCTCTCTCTCTCTCTCTCTCTCTCTCTCTCTCTAAAGAAATGAAATGAAATGAAATGAAATGGATTTTAACGTCCTACTGTATTGCTCCGAACTGGGCTAATGAGAGAAATATTGCCCGGCCAGCGGCACTACGGCCTACTCTTATATCGAATCTTTTACGTGCACGCCAATGTGTACACAGGACCTCGGTTTTCAGTCCCATCCGAAATACTAGACAGCTGTCCTTGTCAGGCCCTCCGTCCTGCATCACTGACAAGTGAAAACCACGCCGGAAAATCTGGATGAACTTTCTCGGTCAATGCAGGGATCTTACATCCGACCTCCAGGCTAGCGAGCCAGCGTCTTACCCACTTAGCCACCGTGATCCCAAGATTCTAATGAATAGGGCTATTCGACCTTTAACTGATCATAATTTTATATGGCCAACAATCAATGGTTTTGTTTTTAAAGAGCACGATGTTTCGATAATTATCGTCTTATCAAACACAAACATGAATGGTTCCTATTAGTATTATGTTCTGTTAATGTGTTTCTCGCTCGCTAAAATGCCATTTAAGGATCATCTTTATAGTTTAATCCCCACTAAAATGCCATTTAAAGATTATATTTACAGCTTTATCCACGCTAAAATGTACTCAATCAGATAGAAAAGAGGCGCATCAAAAGAGCTTTAGTTGACTATTAACTTATTAAGAGAAATACTGAATGGAATTGAGAAAATGTCTGAAGAAAGGTTCCTGTAAGTGATCAAATATTTACAATAATCAGTTTATAGTTTGTACGGGATTAACAATTCCCCAAACTGACGTTCATGAAACTTCAACAATCCGACAACCCCTCCGTTACGTTTAGAAACGTTAACTGTAAGAAATGTCGCAATGCGGCAACCCTTCAATTACGTTTAGAGACGTTAACTATGAAATATCGCAATGTGGCAACCCCTCAGATACGTTTAGAAACGTTAACTGTAAGAAATGTCGCAATGCCACAACCCCTCAATTACGTTTAGAAACGTTAACTGTGAAATGTCGCAATGCGGCAACCCCTCATTTACGTTTAGAAACGTTAACTGTAAGAAATGTCGCAATGCGGCAACCCCTTAATTACGTTTATAAACTTTAACTGTAAGAAATGTTGCAATGCGGCAATCCTTGAATTACGTTTAGAAACGTTAACTGTAAGAAATGTCGCAATGCGGCGACCCCTCAATTACGTTTAGAAACGTTAACTGTAAAAATGTCGCAATGCGGCAATCCCTCGATTACGTTTAGAAACGTTAACAATGAGAAATGTCGCGATATAGGTCTTGAATCATGCATCATTAATAGACCAATAATTCATAACCAATTTTACATTATCTATTTTTGAACTATTATAGCAAGAACGACCAGCTCTTTATCTAAATTTTACATAATGTACCTTTAACAAAAAAAACCCCAACTGCCGTTCTATTGGTGTTTATGATTGTATCCAATACCTTTTTTATTAGACAATTAAACTGATACAAATTTTAGCGATATTACGGTTTATATCAAGTTTCCCTCGAGTGATAGACAATCAACATACAAACATATTGATAGAGTCAATGCCGGAGTTTAATAACAATGGCACTGTAACAATGAGGTGAAAACAATATCATATATTAGCTTAATAATTAAAAAGGCTATGTGTATATCGTTTGTATAGATAATAATATATATATAGTAAGTCATTGATTAATATATATAATATATATAGCTATAGATATGATAATCGTGAAACATAAAGACGTACACGTGACGTACACGTCACGTATTGTCAACGTATGGTCTAATCGATGAGTTGGCTGATCACTGGTATCTAATGCTTTGACAAATATAAACCCCGCCTTCTAATATACAAGCTTTGATTTAGCAGGCGGTGAGAATGTAACGCCCCCGCTAACTGTCGTATTTTCAAATACCACGATAAGAATCAAGTTTTCTTAGTCTGTGTTCAACTTTAACAAAATGAGTCCCATGTTAACTTTCATCTCTGCCATGCTTTTAGTTGCTGTGTCCAATGCCAGATCTTTTGGGTCGAATTCAGGTTGGAAATTAGGCGATAAGGGATCAGAATTACTGCACCGACAAATTTACCAAACTCATAGACTGTTATCAGGTAAGATGTTTTCTCATCACTTCCGATTTATTTAGTGTTGGCCGCGATAGTTCCTCCGGATTTTCTGGTGTGGATCTACTTCCAAGTGATGTTAGAGATAACGCATAGTTGTTCGCATAGAACAAAAAAAAACTGCGGTTCTGCCGAATGGTAGGACCTTAAACCCATTTCATTTCATTTAATTCAATGATTCCGCTTTAGTTCCCAAAGCGGGGAAATAATTGCTTTTAAAATTACGAATTGTAAATATGTTAGAGCCGGGGATCGTGCACCAGACAAACTATGCTTATTTTTCATGGAACCTTTGTTAGAACTGCTGTAATAGAGTGATAATCGTGACTACAGATAATATTCGTGTTCTGCTCAAATTGTTTCTCTCTTGCTCGATTGTTTAATTTTAGTCCTTGCTTGAACTTCTAGAATTTATTCCTCTAAGCTGCGTAGAAATGGCCTTCTATATATATATATAGAGAGAGAGAGAGAGAGAGAGAGAGAGTTTAACGTCTACTCGGCACATACTAGGTTATTTTGGGACTAACATATGGTTCAATTTTATTTCAATAGTTCGCTTGCGCGTAGGGGTATTTAGCAGTGGGAGGAAACCGGAGGACCCGGAGAAAACCCACGAGTTTGAACAGGCATCCGTCCTCCTTGTCACGTACAACCAGGGATTCCTATATTAGAAACAAAGACTTACAACTAATACTTGAAACTATGTATAATTAGAAACGTAACCCATAGTTATATTGTAGTTCCTGTAAGATTGAGGTATTATTCCGCTTGGACTTTGCTCGCTCCTGGTGTTGGCCGAGAAAGTTCATCGGAATTTTCTGGCGTCGTTTTCTCTTGTCAGTGTTACAAGATGGAGGGTCTGACAAGGACAGCTGTCTAGTCATTCGGATGGGACGAATAACCCGAGGTCCCGTGTATACATTGGCGTGCATGTAAAAGATCCCTTGGCAGTTGGAATTCGATATAAGAGTAGGTCGTAGTGCCGCTGTCCGGACAAAATTTCCCTCACAGCACACTGTATGGCTTATGCCCGTCTTTATTATCCCAGTTCGAAGCAGAACAGTAGGACGTTAAACCCCATTTCATTTCATTTTATGATTTTCCCCGTCACTACAATTCAGGTTCAATGATTAACTTTTATTGTTTTGAGCAAGGTAAGCCTGTCCAACCTCGTGGGTTTTCTCCGGGTCCTCCGGTTTCCTCCCACTGCTAAAGACCCCTACGCGCAAGCAAATTATTGAAATAAAATTGAACCATGTGCTAGCCCCGAAATAACCTAGTTTGTGTTGAGTGGACGTTAAACCCCATTTCTCTCTCTGTCTCTGAACAAGGTAAAATCACAATATCCCCCCCGGTCTCATTATACCAGAATATTTACCGTTATAAATTGTATTGTGATTTACCTAATTAAGGTAGCAGGTGTGAGAGTACACCTGGAATGTTATACAATAGTCCACGTGCGATGATAACAATTCTTTGGAATATTTATTATATAATTTCTGTGTTTACGACAGGGAACCATGCTGATTGAATGGATAAAGCACTGGCTCCCTAATGCTAGGTTCCAACTGTCGTGCGATGCATTACGATAGGATTATCACTATTGAGTCCACGATTTGGTACGTGCAGATCGGTTCGGATAGGTTTCGAAACGATCAACACGATTGCTACGAATGACCTCAATATATGATAAGACCTGATAGGATCACCACGATTACTCCACGATTAAAACCATGATTTCAATCATAGAGCTAATCATGATAGCCAGAACCTAGCATTACCAGCAGGTACCAGAGTTCGATTCCGATATAGGCCGAGCAAATGTAGCTCGGTTTCGTAAATGAAATGAAATGGGGTTTAACGTCCTACTGTTCTGCTCCTAAACTGGGCTAATGAAGAGGGGCATACGCCATGAGGGAAATTTTGCCCGGGCAGCGGCGTTACGGCCTACTCTAATATCGAATTTCAACTGCCAAGGGATCTTTTACGTGCACGCCAATGTGTACACGGGACCCCGGTTTTTCGCCCCATCCGAACGACTAGACAGCTGTTCTTGTCAGGCCCTCCGTCCTGTATCACTGACAAGGGGAAACCACGCCGGAAAATTTGGATGAACTTTCTCGGCCAATGCAGGTATCGAACACCCGACCTCCAGGCTAACGAGCCAGCGTCTTACCCACTTAGCCACGTGATCCCAAGCTCGGTTTCACCTTGTCACGACGGCGGTTCTGGTACAGTACGGTGTCTAGTCGTTCGTCTGGGACGAATTACCGAGGTCTGCTGCATAAACGAACACTTGGAGTAGGAATTCGATATAAGAGTAGGGCTATATGCCGATGTCCGTCGGTACAGAAAAGTAGGACGTTTAAACCTCATTTCACTTTTTTCATTTTGTTGATAGACAGTTATTCTGCTCCGTCAAAATGTCCCTCATAACACATTTCATGTCGTATGTCCATCTTCATTAAGGCTCTTAGAACGTTAACCCCTATTTCATTTCATGAATACACTCAATAGTTTAGTCAAACTGGTGACGAGGAACACCAATGGGCAAGTCTTATGTCAGCTACAAATTGATCCCAAACATTGTCCGAACTTCAGCTTCTACAGACCAGTTGGTGCCGAAGAATGGGGGTTTTAGGGCGTTTAACCTTATTTCATATCATTAAAAGGCGCACTATGTAAGATTTAGATAAAGAGCTGACAGCTTTCGCTATAATAGCGTAGTCTCGATTTTCATTCAAATTACTTTATTCTGAGCCAAGTTATGGGTTCTGAAAGATTTAGCGCCGATTGTTTATTGTCACTGGACAATAGAGACTTAGCCCCCGTTCATCTCGTGGGTTTCCTAATCGATTTAAATCTCTGTTATCCGATTATCTAACTAGAGGGGTGATTGCCATGTGAATAAATATCTGATAATAGACATTTAATAGATATATTTAACTCTTACATAATGCGTCTTTATTACAGATTATAGTTTAGTTAAAATCGACTTTAGTTAAGGACGAGAGAGAGAGAGAGAGAGAGAGAGAGAGAGAGAGAGTGTTTGTGTGTGTGTGAGAGAGAGAGAGTGTTTGTGTGTGTGTGTGAGAGAGAGAGAGAGAGAGAGAGAGTGTTTGTGTGTGTGTGAGAGAGAGAGAGTGTTTGTGTGTGTGTGTGTGAGAGAGAGAGAGAGAGAGAGAGAGAGAGAGAGAGAGTGTTTGTGTGTGTGTGAGAGAGAGAGAGAGAGAGAGAGAGAGAGTGTTTGTGTGTGTGTGAGAGAGAGAGAGAGAGAGAGAGAGTGTTTGTGTGTGTGTGTGAGAGAGAGAGAGAGAGAGAGAGAGAGAGAGAGGTTTAGCGTCCACTCGACACAAACTAGGTCATTTCGGGACTAACATATGTTTCAATTTTATTTCAATAATTCGCTTGCGCGTAGGGGGTCTTTAGCAGTGGGAGGACCCGGAGAAAACCCACGAGGTTAGACAGGCGGCCCTACTCCTTGTCACGTACATTTGTTGTTTATTATGGTAACCATGGTAACCACGGTACTGGTATATTCGCTTCTCCATTTTTAAATCAAATTAATAAATGGCCGAACCGTTCTAATCCAGTTAAAATCTGGAGTACCCAATGGCATCGAGAGTTGATTGTGCCATGTTAATTAATGTCTAATTAATAATTTAGATAACATTTAAGGCCCAAAAGGAAGACCCGCAATAGGTAAATTTAGCTCTTGAATAATGTAACCCTACATAATAATTAACCGGACTTTGGTTTCCAAGATTGCTTTGGTTTGGAACAAGACCTCTAATTGGCGTGATTTTGTCAACCAATCGCTGCTCCTCTACCTAAATAATCATTATGTTAACTCATCAGCAAATAATATAACAACGGGAAATTCCCCCAGGCCACGTGAACTCCGGTCAAGTGAAATTGAATGAATCCAGGCCAGAAACAGATGATGATGTGATTTCAATTATAATTTTTGATTTCCACATACCGTGAGTTTCAGATCTACCAGGGGCGCAACCAAATGTAGAGGGGGAGGGAGTGCTCCCAGCAACAACCCCCCCCCCCCCGCCACTACCACCACACACACTCCTGCTCGGCTATATAAAAAAAAGTTATGTTCTTTATCCTTTATCATTAGATGGTGTGATGGGATGGGCACTCAAACTGCGAGATATTGATATAGATATATAGAGGATATTTGTCGTTTTAGAGTGAATAACATATTTTATTTCATCGAGAAGCAAGAAAACTTATATTTTCACGAGTGCGTAGCATGAGTGAAAATATAAACGTTTTCTTGCTTAGAGATGAAATAAAATATGTTATTCACGACAAAACGACAAATGTTCTATTTATTTTATGATTTTACAATCATTTTAGGTAAAAATAACATGGACTACTTTATCCAGTGGAATAACACTTTTATTTCACTGATAAAACGCGGTATTCCACTACTGATCATAAAATAAAATGTGGTATCACAATTAATGCTTTGCATCAATGAAATTGAATCACAATATGATCCTATTATTTCATTATAAAAATTGACGTCAAACATGGTGTTGGATTTCTCTCTTTAAAAAACTCAATGTGTATGTTTGAATAATTAATTTAAAGACGGTGATGGCATCATGCATTGTCAACTGTCAAATGTCCTTAACAGGAACCTGGCAAACCCTCTCCTGGAAATATTCCTGGATCCGTCCCTGTCTACCAGTCCACGATGTTAGAGACTTGGTTGGTCGATCTAAACAAGTGTCATTGAATCAAGTTTTAAGTGGTTACCTAGTGAATTTCTCCGGGTCCTCCGCACAAGTGAATTATTGAAATATAACGGTATCATATGTTAGTCTCGAACTGACCAAGTTGTGATGAGTGGACGCTAAACCCCATTTCGCTCTGCCCTACCTTCAGGTTGTCTCAGAATCAAAGAGTAGGCTATCTCTCTATATATTTATAAGCTGTGATGGGAGTTGTTCTGGTGACAGGATATG